TGAACTAGCTAAAAATTGAAAATACCGTAAAATTTACAGTCAACACTGTTGATTATTCCTGGATGTGTAATGTCAGTAAATGGTGCATTACTACAGTTCCGTCTAAGATGAGAGGAGTATCATCCAAGATGTTTTATATATTTATGTTTTTTAAAGTTTTTCTCCTTTTGTTTTTTTGTTTTGTTTTTATCTTGAAAAGAACGACAAAGGATTTTGTGTGAACTGTCGTTATTACTCCGCTGTGATATAGCTATATATTTTATCATTTTAGGCCATTACAACACCTGGTTTGAGCACGTTAAGTCATGGTTAGATTTCAAAAAGAAGAATCCAGATTTACCTATCCTGTTTGTATCATTTGAGGACATGAAAAAGGTGTGTATTATTGTTTTATGGTACAGAATATCTTCATATACCTATTTTGAAATCGCCAGGTAATTATTTGATAAAGATAATAAATGATTAAATATATGGTAAGTGCATCTCCCCATTTGTACTTGATTTCCTCTTAGATTTTTTCTGGATTCCAATATTCTAGTTTCCTAGTATCACTTCCGAATCTTATAAGAACAAAACATACGTTGACCAGTGAACTTTACTAACAGGATATATTGTAACTATTTATGTTTGTATCAAAAGGCGATGTGTACTTGTGAGTCTTTTCTACAAGCATCTTCGCTGGTGCGTTCATACTATCTATCAATGAAAAAAACTGATTAGAATGCTATGTTAGAATGTCTTCTTTAAAGCATCTATAACCTTTGTTTATGCAATTAACCTTTTTGTTATGTTCAGTTCTTTTATAAATAAATAACTTTCAAACAGAATGGCATTTTGTAGAGATCGTCGTTGTCTTCAAGAATAGTACGTCTTCAAGTTTCTGAGTATTGTTTCAATTTCAAGTTAGTGTTTATATAAATAGATATTACAAAGGTATCGACTGGACATTATCATTAAGGGATATAGATAAAGTTCTTCCATTAGTATTTCAACAACCAATAACATGATACTGTCATATTGAAGGACTTACGAAGCTGTGTTCAAAAGATGGCAGAATATTTGGGAACGAAACAAGATCCAGAATTCCTTGACGAAGTGGCAAGAAAATGTCAGTTCAACGTCATGTCAGCGGCAAAGTCCTCAAATGCAAAAGAAACAGCAATGTCCAAAGATGGCACCAACCCGTTCTATAGAAAAGGTACACCTGTTGTAAATCACTTTGAACATGCACACTGATTTTAATGTCATGGCTGTATTAACAATATGTATAGCTGTATGTGGGACCGGAAATTCCCCCCAAGGCTGTTTATATCCTCCAGGCTAGGTTCATGAGATATGCGTTCATTTTCTTTCACGTCTTTACATATATTAGAAATAAATGTAGATATGTTTGTTTATCCAAGCTTCTGATTACTTAATAGTCAGAATATTTATGATCAGTGTCGTTCACGTGTTAATGTCATGTTGATATCACTTGAGCACAAAAATAATCGATTAAATTATAACGGTAAAGATTATGATACTTATGTGTTGTCGTAACTTGAGGAAAGTCTTCTTCTTTACTGTTTAAGGTGAAGTTGGAGATTGGAAGAACTGGCTAACAGTGGCACAAAACGAGATGTATGATGCAGTGATTAAAGAAAAAATGGTTGACATTGATCTAGACATTACATATACATTGTAAAATCATTTTGTGAGCTTTTCTGAAATGTCACTCTCCTACTAAAACCGTTGTTTTGTTTTGTTTTAAAAATATCACAAACTGAGAATGAGTAATATATTATATGTATATATGCGAAACTTCAAAGTGAAAATTGCATTATTTTATGTACTATGTTTGACACATAGTAAACAAGGACAATTTTACGTGACAGCGAAATAACATTGCTTATTCGTCAACAATGTTTCAAACACAACCATTTGAATGCAGATGTCGAGTTGGCATCGGAATTTTGTCAACTTGCACAGGAGGAGATGAATGAGAGTATGTCTTAACACTCACCGCAGTATACATCGGACAATCTATAAAAATGGACATATTTTCAATTTGTTATAGCCTGATCATATACTAAGCTTGTCGTTCGAGGCACATTACAGACTTGATCTGTGTATCACATGTACTCTGTGAATATTCACATCACAACAACACAAAAAGGGACATGCATACTTGTACAAACAGCAATTATTATCAACGTTATTCATATTTTGGGTTCTCTATTCATAAATACATCAATCAAATGTTTTCAATCTACTGTCATCCTCACAGGACCGTACTGTTCAACAAAAAGCGAACATGACCTTTCTACATATTATCTAAAAAAAAGCGAAAAGAGCAGGTGAAAATGCACCTAAGAGTAAATACAATTACCGAAAGAAAGCATGAAATAACAAAATCCGTTTTTTTACATGAGATGTGTAATAAAGATAAGACCTATATTAGGATATACATTTAAACAGTTAGTAACGATATCTATATTTAGTTATTAATGAATGATTAGTATAAATGTATATAGCTATGGGGTGAGTGTCTGCCAGGTCAACACTGTTTTTAGCGATGTATTTTGAACTACTTCTTTGACTAGAATTTTAGATATATTTGTAAATTGTGTGAGTAAAAACATAGGTTTGTAAGAAATTATTTTTATATATATGATAAAGAACATGTTAACAACCGGTTAGATGCGACAAGTAAATTGACGCATTCTTTTGTTAGATTTTTTAATTATGCTGATAAAAATCATTGTCTATAAGCTTTTGATAGGGAGGTTACAGCTGTTCTATAAGTTTATTTAAGTTTTCTTGGAAAGACACATACATTGTATATAGTGGATATAACGAGAGGTGGATCCGCAAGACATGCTATGATACATTTTATTATTTCATAACACCATCGTCTAAAATGGTAAGTTCTTTATCAATAATCGCTAACGATGTTACCACTTTCCGCACTACTTTAATGGATTATACATTTCATTTTCTATTACATTTCATAATAAATTTGCATTGAAATGCTAAATTTCCGTATTCTGTATATAAATATAAATGTAATCAAATCAGAATGATGTATCGAGATATCAGTTTGATATATTTGCGTTTTTGAACTTACATTTAAAATGGTTGTCCATAAAACAGTGCATAGATAAATTTAATGACCGTAGTGACCACAACTGTGTAAATCTTGACTATATTAGATTGTATGAACACATGGGAACATTCTAATAATTTACTGGTCAATATATACACTAAAAGATCTCAATATAAGCTGACTGCTCGTACATTAGTCGCCGTTTCATTGACGCTAAGGTTTGTGTTGGAACTAGTCGGTATTGCAAACCTTGAGGACAACTCAGAAGTAACACTAGAAACTAGCTTCATAAGGTAATTTATAGGTAACGCTTCATGGTGCCTTAGTCGATAAAATCCTGATGTCGTAGCTGTAAACAAGGACATATACCACAGCTTGTGATTTTTTGATCAATGTAAACGGTTTGTTGTATAATGAAAGTTATCGAATATAAAATCAAAAGCAAAACTAGGGTGGTAGGGTTGCGCAGTGGTACCGCACTCGCCTTTCGCCAAGCCGTCCGGGGTTCGATTCCCGGAATGGATATGAAAAGGCTTGGGGTCACCTATCTTAAACGGATAAAGCGGTATTGAAAACAAATTCTTGAATATCGATTCTACTGCGACCTTTGAAACCATAGATTGGGGAAGTGAATATATTACTACTCAAACGCACAACATGGAAATAAGAAACGTCACTTTTACCATAAAACTTGATCGAAAACTATCTCTGCTGCTTTCGTTGTAGTAGTTAGGGCTTTTCACCCAAAATAGGGTACCAGTGTTCAGCAATCTTCTTGTCAAGTTCCACAAAGTCTAGATAACTAATAGTAGGATATATTGATCAACAAATGTTGCATTATAAGGCTTGCAAATATGAATAACCTTGATCGACATTCAAGGTCACAGGGGTTAAATATGTTTGAACCTTTAAAAAGTGTATTTCTTCGTTATTATGTAGTTATATCTCCTTAACGTTTCAAGATACAAAGTTCATCTTTGGATATGTTGTAGAGATTAACAAACAAGAAAAATATATTGTTATCAGGATAAAGGTCAACGTTCGGTTTCCGTAGGAGGTCAAAGTTGAAATCATTGTTGAAATGTACAATATAAGGTACCAGTGTTAAACAATCTTCTTCTCAAGTTCCACAAGGTGTAGATCACTAGTATTTAGTATATTCTGATCTACATGTGTTGTTTTATAAGGCTTGCAAATATGAATAACCTTGACTAACATTCAAGGTCACAAAGCAAGGGGGTACTGATATTAGGCTTGTAGCATGCTGGGATGAAGGACTACCATTTTTGTCCTGACTAAGAGTTGTTATTTTCTAAGTTGGTCCGAAATCCAAGATGACTACAATGACCGCTATACTGAAAATGGATGTTTTTGAACTGCTCACGTCAGCTTGTGAAATTTTGTTTAAGTTTGCCGTAAATGAAGCTGAGGGGAGTCTGTCCGATATCCAGGATTGTCGCCAAAGAAGTGAAAAGCCCGTAAAATTATTAGCAACTGTTTCTAGTTTATATTTGTTTTATTATTTTTTGTTGACCAGGGTAAATGATAAATAAACGAAATCAACGGAAAAGGTCAAAATAACAAAGGTCAAAATATGTAACAAGAATTTCTGTCATATCAAACTGCACTATGTGCCTTCTTTACTTAAATACTGTCGGCATTATCAACGGGAATGACATCAGAGTCGGTCATTCATAGTGACGGAAGTATTCTGTAAGGAGCGCTGGTATGTTGACAGGCTATGCGTAATTCTGTGTGAATTTATTTATAGAACGTTCACCAGCGTCGGCCATTTACAGTGAAGCAATCATCATGTCAGGAGCGCTGATATGTGAATTGTTTGACAAAGTAACAGAGTATTTACAAGGCAGGGTCAAATTCGGTGACGCAAAGCTGTTCCGGTTAGGATCTAGAACATCTGATAACACCCTCAGCTGGTGATCAATATATCTGCCGGAAACACCATCACAGGACAAAACAGCAGAACTGTACACGAGGTAGGTACATTGAATCTTTTTGTACATCAATATATGAGATTCTGAAAAGAAAAAAATGTAAATTGTTTATGGTGAAGCATTAATGATATGTTTAACTGGTACCAACATAATAAGGTAAATCTGCTTATGTACACCATGTTCTGTTAATATTTTATTATCATCATGATATCACCAATCATTGTAATTTTAACATAAAATATGCATATTTGATATACATTTTGTTTCATACCATTATTTACTATTGTGCAAAATACTTAAGCACTCAACATTAATAATAACAAATGAGGAATTAAATATTTAATGTACAAGTAATATGATAATGTCTGAAAAACAAAGGTTATATCAATATCGACTTACAGAACAATCTAAAGAAAATGAAAGTATTGCAAATATGTCAGTATAATGTAGGCGTTTTAGCAATTATAGTTGCACCAGGTTGTCTGTAAAGTTTATATCTTAGTTTGCGCTTAATGTCATACATTGTGACCCCGTAATTTAAAAGAAGTAAGATTACACTGCTGTAAATAACGTTTACTGTGTACACATGAAGAACAACTTAGAACAAGATATCTCAATAGATAGCAGAATATTAGGGATCCGACTTGTTTACGTCGGTGGTAGATCTATCGTACACCAACGGAAGCAGCATTTTATAACAAAACGGCTGATATAAAGCTAACTACGGATAAAAAACACATGCTAGCTACAATAATGCTATTTGTTCAATCAGCAAACCTGTTAACATATCGATTTATATAGATTAAAAGAGAACGAGTTATTACGACCATATGACATCAGTAAGCTGTAGCGAGGACATCTGATCACTGAATAAAGCCAAATTTTTGTATAGGTACTCTGTTTTATAAATATGACATTTCATCACTCATTGACTATAATTCTAAAGCATGAAATAAGAACTTCATCGTTAGCAAAACTTAAACAGGAAAAACAAGTTGGAAGATGAAAGCATTGTGTTGACATTGAGACCAACGGATATAATCTAGCTTACCTGGTTGATTCCTCAGGTTTATCAAATTTTACGATATTCAAATTCGTCGTTAGTTAATATTCGGTACATGATTTGGACATTGCTCTTCATTGGACTAAAAATATAAGACATGGTAATAAGATAATATATGCAAAGAATACAGTGTATTGTTTGGCGTATTCAATCTTGGTAATCTTCACGAAGGTGTGTTTTCATGAACGGTAGTTAGACTGTATCTATGAATTATAACCCCTAGATGAGCTCATTATATTAATATTGTACGGAGATCTTGTTTACGTATATGTCTATTCAATTCAACATTTCAAATGAAAATCTGTCTTATGTTATTGAACATTTTACTTTTATTTTTCATCCATTTCTCTGCAAATATGATAGTTTTATAAAAGACAATTCGAACATGGCAACATACTCATAATCAAAACGCAAATTCCATAAAAGTAGGGCAAACTTATGAAGAAAAGAAATATTTACACGGAAACTCCGGAAAAAAGTCAAATGAGAATAAGTCCAGGAATTCCCGAAGACTAAGCGTCTTCTGTTTCATCGCCGACACCCTCCATGTAAACCAAAGTCAATCCAAGTGAGTAATGTCACGTTATCAAATGAGAACAAGGAAAAAACATGTTTTCCCCGATAGGTTTGTAATTGTACAATTGCGGGTAAGTTATTGTTTATTTCGTGTACAACACCTTCTCCTCGGTATTTTAACGATCTTCAAAAGCATATGATTTAAAAAATATTTCACGATTCCGAAGTGTTTAATCTGATACAATTCCTATTAAACTAAGAACGCTTTAGTTCCGTCTCAACACATGCCCTGTTATTACGAGTTTAGTTTAAAAACTCTGATTGAAGCTTCGCTCTGTAATTATGAACAAGTCTCAATTTTCCAAATTTGTCTAGTCAATTCTTGAAACGTGCTTATGGCAGTTATCACACATTTTGGTCGTGTTTTCAATGTTTGCTGAGATTCATCAGTCAATAAAATATATTACTTATGATTGAATGTTGACTTTATTTTCAGAAAAAATCTAATATATTGGTGAGCAAATCGTTATCATGGAAATCCGAAAAATTGTGGATAGAGGCGGGGAAGAGATAGTTAGCAAATATTACGATGGAATTAATTTTCCGCCAGTGGTTAGTGGGAATGTCAAAGATCATTTAGAGGCAATTAGGAATTTAAAACACAAGAACGGCGACATACTTCTCGACACTTTCCCTAAAACTGGTAAGTAAAAATCATCGTCAGTGTAAGATTAAATCATATATTTGCATGAGGCTCAATATCGTGGATTTAAAATGTATTTCATTTTATATCTCTTCGAACAGGACAGGAATGTGTTTTTCATCTATATCATGGTGCATTAGTTTTAAAGTGGTCAGGTTGTCAGTGCTAACGCACTCGCCTTTCACCTAGCCGTCTGGGATCTGATTCCCGGAACGGACGTGAAAAGGAAAGGAGTAAACTGCCTGTTCACGTGGATTTTTCCCTGGGTACTCCGGTTTCCTCCAACAGTAAAACCCCTTGAGTGCGTTCACCCAAGAAAAGAAGAGTGATGTGTATGAGTTGAAAATAACTATAAATCGCTATTGTTGGAAAATAAGTAAAGTTTTTTGTAGATTTGCCACCTGTATAGCATAGTAAAGCATAACAGTAGTATATATAGATTATATATAAATTACTAACATTACTTTTATTTATTCTAGGAACGCACTGGGGATTTGACATTTTGTATATGCTGCAAAATGGAAAAGCTGAATACAGCACAGACAACATCGCACCTTTAGATTTTGCACCTGCAGAGAAAATTGAAGCCTTAGATAGCCCAAGGGTTCTGGTATCACATTTATATCCGCAACATATTCCGAAATTCTGCACAGAGGAGAAATGTAAAATCATCTATATTTATCGTAATCCTAAGGATACGGCTGTGTCCATGCATTCTTTCATGAAGAGACTCGACATGGAGTCGATGCGAGGTTATAATGGTAAATGGGAAGACTTCTTTGAACTATATGCCACACAGCCTGGTAAGTGTAATCTGAATATTTTACTACTCTATCTACTATCTACTCGGGTATATCTCTGTAATAAAACGGTCTCTTTTCTTCACATACATTTATGATTGATGAATCTTTGAACTCGCTAAAAATTGAAAATACCGTAAAATTTACAGTCAACACTGTTGATTATTCCTGGATGTGTAATGTCAGTAAATGGTGTATTACTACAGCTCCTGATAGGCTGAAAGGAGTAATATCCAAGATTTATTTTTTATTTATTTGTTATGTTTTTTAAAGTTTTTCTCTATTTGTTTTTTGTTTGTTTGTTTTTTTATGTTGAAAAGAACGACAAAGGATTTTGTGTGAACTGTCGTTATTACTCCGCTGTGATATAGCTATATATTTTATCATTTTAGTGCATTACAACACCTGGTTTGAGCACGTTAAGTCATGGTTAGATTTCAAAAAGAAGAATCCAGATTTACCTATCCTGTTTGTATCATTTGAGGACATGAAAAAGGTGTGTATTATTGTTTTATGGTACAGAATATCTTCATATACCTATTTTGAAATCGCCAGGTAATTATTTGATAAAGATAATAAATGATTAAATATATGGTAAGTGCATCTCCCCATTTGTACTTGATTTCTACTAAGTAAGTAGATTTTTTCTAGATTTCAATATTCTAGTGTCCAAGTATCAATTCCGAGTCTAAGAAGAACCAAACATAGGTAGATCAGTGAACTTTACTAACAGGATATATTGTACCTATTTCTGTTTGTGTGTACTTATGTGTCTTTTCTACAACCCTCTCCGCTGGTGCGTCCAAACTATCTATCAATGGATAAACTGATAAGAATGCTGTGTTGGGGTCTTTTCTTTAATGCATCAATAACCTTTGTTTATGCAATCAACCTTTTGTTATGTTCAGTTCTTTTATAAATAAATAACTTTCAAGCAGAATGGCATTTTGTAGAGATCGTCGTTGTCTTCAAGAATAGTACGTCTTCAAGTTTCTGAGTATTGTTTCAATTTTAAGTTAGTGTTTATATAAATAGATATTACAAAGGTATCGACTGGACATTATCATTAAGGGATATAGATAAAGTTATCCATTAGTATTTCAACAACCAATAACATGATACTGTCATATTGAAGGACTTACGAAGCTGTGTTCAAAAGATGGCAGAATATTTGGGAACGAAACAAGATCCAGAATTCCTTGACGAAGTGGCAAGAAAATGTCAGTTCAACGTCATGTCAGCGGCAAAGTCCTCACATGCAAAAGAAACAGCAATGTCGAAAGATGGCACCAACCCGTTCTATAGAAAAGGTACACCTGTTGTAAATCACTTTGAACATGCACACTGATTTTAATGTCATGGCTGTATTAACAATATGTATAGCTGTATGTGGGACCGGAAATTCCCCCCAAGGCTGTTTATATCCTCCAGGCTAGGTTCATGAGATATGCGTTCATTTTCTTTCACGTCTTTACATATATTAGAAATAAATGTAGATATGTTTATTTTGATGTTTGTTTATCCTAGCTTCTGATTACTTAATAGTCAGAATATTTATGATCAGTGTCGTTCACGTGTTAATGTCATGTTGATATCACTTGAGCACAAAAATAATCGATTAAATTATAACGGTAAAGATTATGATACTTATGTGTTGTCGTAACTTGAGGAAAGTCTTCTTCTTTACTGTTTAAGGTGAAGTTGGAGATTGGAAGAACTGGCTAACAGTGGCAAAAAACGAGATGTATGATGCAGTGATTAAAGAAAAAATGGTTGACATTGATCTAGACATTACATATACATTGTAAAATCATCATTTTGTGAGCTTTTCTGAAATGTCACTCTCCTACTAAAACCGTTGTTTTGTTTTGTTTTAAAAATATCACAAACTGAGAATGAGTAATATGTTATATGTATATATGCGAAACTTCAAAGTGAAAATTGCATTATTTTATGTACTATGTTCGACACATAGTAAACAAGGACAATTTTACGTGACAGCGAAATAACATTGCTTATTCGTCAACAATGTTTCAAACACAACCATTTGAATGCAGATGTCGAGTTGGCATCGGAATTTGTCAACTTGCACAGGAGGAGATGAATGAGAGTATGTCTTAACACTCACCGCAGTATACAACGGACAATCTATAAAAATGGACGTATTTTCAATTTGTTATAGCCTGATCATATACTAAGCTTGTCGTTCGAGGCACATTACAGACTTGATCTGTGTATCACATGTACTCTGTGAATATTCACATCACAACAACACAAAAAGGGACATGCATATTTGTACAAACAGCAATTATTATCAACGTTATTCATATTTTGGGTTCTCTATTCATAAATACATCAATCAAATGTTTTCAATCTACTGTCATCCTCACAGGACCGTACTGTTCAACAAAAAGCGAACATGACCTTTCTACATATTATCTAAAAAAAGCGAAAAGAGCAGGTGAAAATGCACCTAAGAGTAAATACAATTACCGAAAGAAAGCATGAAATAACAAAATCCGTTTTTTTACATGAGATGTGTAATAAAGATAAGACCTATATTAGGACATACATTTAAACAGTTAGTAACGATATCTATATTTAGTTATTAATGAATGATTAGTATAAATGTATATAGCTATGGGGTGAGTGTCTGACAGGTCAACACTGTTTTTAGCGATGTATTTTGAACTACTTCTTTGACTAGAATTTTAGATATATTTGTAAATTGTGTGAGTAAAAACATAGGTTTGTAAGGAATTATTTTTATATATATGATAAAGAACATGTTAACAACCGGTTAGATGCGACAAGTAAATTGACGCATTCTTTTGTTAGATTTTTTAATTATGCTGATAAAAATCATTGTCTATAAGCTTTTGATAGGGAGGTTACAGCTGTTATATAAGTTTATTTAAGTTTTCTTGGAAAGACACATACATTGTATATAGTGGATATAACGAGAGGTGGATCCGCAAGACATGCTATGATACATTTTATTATTTCATAACACCATCGTCTAAAATGGTAAGTTCTTTATCAATAATCGCTAACGATGTTACCACTTTCCGCACTACTTTAATGGATTATACATTTCATTTTCTATTACATTTCATAATAAATTTGCATTGAAATGCTAAATTTCCGTATTCTGTATATAAATATAAATGTAATCAAATCAGAATGATGTATCGAGATATCAGTTTGATATATTTGCGTTTTTGAACTTACATTTAAAATGGTTGTCTATAAAACAGTGCATAGATAAATTTAATGACCGTAGTGACCACAACTGTGTAAATCTTGACTATATTAGATTGTATGAACACATGGGAACATTATAATAATTTACTGGTCAATATATACACTAAAAGATCTCAATATAAGCTGACTGCTCGTACATTAGTCGCCGTTTCATTGACGCTAAGGTTTGTGTTGGAACTAGTCGGTATTGCAAACCTTGAGGACAACTCAGAAGTAACACTAGAAACTAGCTTCATAAGGTAATTTATAGGTAACGCTTCATGGTGCCTTAGTCGATAAAATCCTGATGTCGTAGCTGTAAACAAGGACATATACCACAGCTTGTGATTTTTTGATCAATGTAAACGGTTTGTTGTATAATGAAAGTTATCGAATATAAAATCAAAAGCAAAACTAGGGTGGTAGGGTTGCGCAGTGGTACCGCACTCGCCTTTCGCCAAGCCGTCCGGGGTTCGATTCCCGGAATGGATATGAAAAGGCTTGGGGTCACCTATCTTAAACGGATAAAGCGGTATTGAAAACAAATTCTTGAATATCGATTCTACTGCGACCTTTGAAACCATAGATTGGGGAAGTGAATATATTACTACTCAAACGCACAACATGGAAATAAGAAACGTCACTTTTACCATAAAACTTGATCGAAAACTATCTCTGCTGCTTTCGTTGTAGTAGTTAGGGCTTTTCACCCAAAATAGGGTACCAGTGTTCAGCAATCTTCTTGTCAAGTTCCACAAAGTCTAGAGAACTAATAGTAGGATATATTGATCAACAAATGTTGCATTATAAGGCTTGCAAATATGAATAACCTTGACCGACATTCAAGGTCACAGGGGTTAAATATGTTTGAACCTTTAAAAAGTGTATTTCTTCGTTATTATGTAGTTATATCTCCTTAACGTTTCAAGATACAAAGTTCATCTTTGGATATGTTGTAGAGATTAACAAACAAGAAAAATATATTGTTATCAGGATAAAGGTCAACGTTCGGTTTCCGTAGGAGGTCAAAGTTGAAATCATTGTTGAAATGTACAATATAAGGTACCAGTGTTAAACAATCTTCTTCTCAAGTTCCACAAGGTGTAGATCACTAGTATTTAGTATATTCTGATCTACATGTGTTGTTTTATAAGGCTTGCAAATATGAATAACCTTGACTAACATTCAAGGTCGCAAAGCAAGGGGGTACTGATATTAGGCTTGTAGCATGCTGGGATGAAGGACTACCATTTTTGTCCTGACTAAGAGTTGTTATTTTCTAAGTTGGTCCGAAATCCAAGATGACTACAATGACCGCTATACTGAAAATGGATGTTTTTGAACTGCTCACGTCAGCTTGTGAAATTTTGTTTAAGTTTGCCGTAAATGAAGCTGAGGGGAGTCTGTCCGATATCCAGGATTGTCGCCAAAGAAGTGAAAAGCCCGTAAAATTATTAGCAACTGTTTCTAGTTTATATTTGTTTTATTATTTTTTGTTGACCAGGGTAAATGATAAATAAACGAAATCAACGGAAAAGGTCAAAATAACAAAGGTCAAAATATGTAACAAGAATTTCTGTCATATCAAACTGCACTATGTGCCTTCTTTACTTAAATACTGTCGGCATTATCAACGGGAATGACATCAGAGTCGGTCATTCATAGTGACGGAAGTATTCTGTAAGGAGCGCTGGTATGTTGACAGGCTATGCGTAATTCTCTGTGAATTTATTTATAGAACGTTCACCAGCGTCGGCCATTTACAGTGAAGCAATCATCATGTCAGGAGCGCTGATATGTGAATTGTTTGACAAAGTAACAGAGTATTTACAAGGCAGGGTCAAATTCGGTGACGCAAAGCTGTTCCGGTTAGGATCTAGAACATCTGATAACACCCTCAGCTGGTGATCAATATATCTGCCGGAAACACCATCACAGGACAAAACAGCAGAACTGTACACGAGGTAGGTACATTGAATCTTTTTATACATCAATATATGAGATTCTGAAAAGAAAAAAATGTAAATTGTTTATGGTGAACCATTAATGATATGTTTAACTGGTACCAACATAATAAGGTAAATCTGCTTATGTACACCATGTTCTGTTAATATTTTATTATCATCATGATATCACCAATCATTGTAATTTTAACATAAAATATGCATATTTGATATACATTTTGTTTCATACCATTATTTACTATTGTGCAAAATACTTAAGCACTCAACATTAATAATAAGAAATGAGGAATTAAATATTTAATGTACAAGTAATATGATAATGTCTGAAAAACAAAGGTTATATCAATATCGACTTACAGAACAATCTAAAGAAAATGGAAGTATTGCAAATATGTCAGTATAATGTAGGCGTTTTAGCAATTATAGTTGCACCAGGTTGTCTGTAAAGTTTATATCTTAGTTTGCGCTTAATGTCATACATTGTGACCCCGTAATTTAAAAAAAAGTAAGATTACACTGCTGTAAATAACGGTCACTGTGTACACATGAAGAACAACGTAGAACAAGATATCTCAATAGATAGGAGAATATTAGGGATCCGACTTGTTTACGTCGGTGGTAGATCTATCGTACACCAACGGAAGCAGCATTTTATAACAAAACGGCTGATATAAAGCTAACTGTGGATAAAAAACACATGGTAGCTACAATAATGCTATTTGTTCAATTAGCAAACCTGTTAACATATCGATTTATATAGATTAAAAGAGAACGAGTTATTACGACCATATGATATCAGTAAGCTGTAGCGAGGACATCTGATCACTGAATAAAGCCAAATTTTTGTATAGGTACTCTGTTTTATAAATATGACATTTCATCACTCATTGACTATAATTCTAAAGCATTAAATAAGAACTTCATCGTTAGCAAAACTTAAACAGGAAAAACAAGTTGGAAGATGAAAGCATTGTGTTGACATTGAGACCAACGGATATAATCTAGCTTACCTGGTTGATTCCTCAGGTTTATCAAATTTTACGATATTCAAATTCGTCGTTAGTTAATATTCGGTACATGATTTGGACATTGCTCTTCATTGGACTAAAAATATAAGACATGGTAATAAGATAATATATGCAAAGAATACAGTGTATTGTTTGGCGTATTCAATCTTGGTAATCTTCACGAAGGTGTGTTTTCATGAACGGTAGTTAGACTGTATCTATGAATTATAACCCCTAGATGAGCTCATTATATTAATATTGTACGGAGATCTTGTTTACGTATATGTCTATTCAATTCAACATTTCAAATGAAAATCTGTCTTATGTTATTGAACATTTTACTTTTATTTTTCATCCATTTCTCTGCAAATATGATAGTTTTATAAAAGACAATTCGAACATGGCAACATACTCATAATCAAAACGCAAATTCCATAAAAGTAGGGCAAACTTATGAAGAAAAGAAATATTTACACGGAAACTCCGGAAAAAAGTCAAATGAGAATAAGACCAGGAATTCCCGAAGACTAAGCGTCTTCTGTTTCATCGCCGACACCCTCCATGTAAACCAAAGTCAATCCAAGTGAGTAATGT